CCTGTCTTTGACAAACTGATAATAATTCTCTCTCTCTTTGACATTTTCTATTGCATCATTTATCTTCAATAGAAATACAAAGTTTTAATTTACAGAATGCCCTGTAATACTAGGTTGTTCTCAATACAGAGTTTTAGTTAGTTTGCTTACGCGATTGAAGATTGTTTCTGCGGAGTTCAGATCACGTATCTAAGAGAATTATTTTAAGGCACTTTAGCCTTCGTTAGAAAGCGAATGCAATTATAATGGTTATAGAGCATTGTTTGCTCTGTACGTATTATTATTCTCTGTTCCTATGTGCATTCTTTAAATAAATAGAAATTATTTAATGTATTAGTACCAGCATTACAAGAGTTGTTTGTGGTTAAGCACAAAGCTACACAAAGGGCTATCTGTGATCTGCTTACCAAGGTTATCTAAACCTGGTTTTTAGTGTTGTAAATCCGCAGACATATCACTGTGCCACTGGGGGATCCAGCATTATAAAAAAGAAGGCTTAAAATTCATCGGCAGGCCGACAGAAAAAATAAAAGGCCGAAATTTATTGTTTTTTTATGTATATTTTTATTCATTGTTATAAAGGTAAATAAATTTAGAAACTTTTTAGGTTAGATAACGTTAGATTAGGTAAGATAATGAAAAACAATAATGATAATAATAATAATAAAATATCTTCATGAAATATGCCCATGAGTAGCCTGTGCGTTACGTCATTCAATACTGTAGCTTTAGCTATGCATTCGCCATGCCCACCAGTTGTACAGCGGCATGTCTGCTGACTCACAACGCTAGAAACCAGGTTTCGATACTCGTGGTGGGCAGACCACAGGTAACCATTGTGTAGCTTTGTGTGCTTAATTAGAAACAATCATTCGCCATTAGTTGGACACTGTTCAAACGGCAATAAAGCAATAAATTATATAGAAACAGATATAGACTGTTAAAAGCCTTAAGCTATTTAGTATAAACAATTGTAATTTTTTGTTACAACCTGCAGTCATTCTAGAAAGATAAAAGGATAGTTCAGATTTATTTCGTATATTTTGTGATGATTACAAGGTCGGTCAAATTGAAAGAGTCAGTATAGAGTTAGGTTAGAAAACATAACAGATAAAATATAGTTTTACTGAAAAAAAAACGTTTGATATTTGTTTATGAGGTTTTAGAGGTTATGAAAACGAAATTTTAAAACTGTAAAGTGAATGAAAGTATATTTTTAAATCTTAACATGAAAATCACCTCTTATTCGGACCAGTTAACACTCTGGATCCATATATTCACAGATACTTTTTTAGTAAAAATACATAGTTAAAAAATCTGGTTTCTTGTGTTCAAAAGACTTGTGATGTTTACTAAAATCTCTTGAAGATACTACATTAAGTACGTTCAGAGTTACACTATATATTTTCATAGTTTATTGGTTGTTACAAATACAAGGTTGTGTAAAATACACGAGCTCGTGTCCATAGAGCTAATATAGTGTCACGTTACTCAGAGTATGCCAAAAATAATAGAACCTATTAAAAATTAATAAAATGAGTTGTTCGCAACGTTTGTTAAATAAATCTTTGTTTTTATTTGATATTGTGAACTATTACCTTTATAGTGAATGTCTTAACCTTTTAACTCACACGGATTGTACTATGCACTGTCTACTTTAAATATTGATAGTGATCAGTTAGTTATTATTCTTTTAAATATGACTTCTTACAGCGTAATGAGAAAATTGAATTGTGAGTACTTCAAAAAATCATAACTTTTTATACAACTGACTTCAAAACAATGTTGAAATTCTCGAGAGAAAAAAAGCTTAATTTTCATCTTGATGGTATAAGTGTATAACTGAAACTAAAAATAAGAACATTCCAGACATTTTCTTGGCTGTAAAGATTTTAATATTGGCCTCATGAATAAAATAAGAAAAAGAGCAAACTAAGAAAGTCTATAACATTTAATTTAGCTGTCCCGTTATACATTATAATAAATTCAGAGGTTAAGTGCATGTTGTCATAGCAAAACAAAAAAAAAGGAACAGTCTTATTTGTATGAATGAGTTTTTAATCTAAAGCTATAATGCTAAGAAACCACTATAATTTGCTTCCTTATCCTAGAAAAAGCATTTGACATTTGGCATAACTGTCTCAGCTTTGAACTAGTTCAATAATATCTTCAAGATACCATTCTAATTTTCTAGGCCCGGCATGGCCAGGTGGTTAAGGCACTCGACCCGCAATCTGAGGGTCGCGGGTTCGAATCCCTGTCACACCAAACATGCTCGCCCGTGGGGGCGTTATAATGTGACGGTCAATCCCACTATTCGTTGGTAAAAGAGTAGCCCAAGAGTTGGCGGTGGGTGGTGATGACTAGCTGCCTTCCCTCTAGTCTTACACTGCTAAATTAGGGACGCCTAGCGCAGATAGCCCTCGTGTAACTTTGCGCGAAATTAAAAAGAAAACAAACTAATTTTCTAGAAATCACAAAAATAAATATATATATATGTTTTACAATATACATTTTCTTAGTTCTTCGTTTTATCGCAGGTTATTACCCTTTTACTTTTAACCTTAATCTTAACAAAGTGCCTTTGAATGATATTTCCCAAAAAGGTAAAAATCACAAACTAATGACCAGAAACTTCAATTTCTTGTAAAAAAAAAAATACTAAGAAAATAAATCAGCATACAATTGGTAACACATTGTATGAAAATGTTGCCCCCAATTGACTCAGCAGTAAGTCAGGGGGTTTATAACGCTAAAGACCGGGTTTCGATACACGTGGTGGGCAGAGTACATATAGACCATTGTGTAGCTTTGTGTTTAACAACAAATAAAATATACAATGAATATAATACTTTTCATCTTTCGAAGTTTGAGCAAGTGCAAATACTAAACTTTATTTATTTATAGACTTCTGGAACGATAAATTGTCTTAATTAGAGTACCCATGAAATATATATTGAAATACTAATAAAGCAGTTTTACAAATGAGCCACTTCTTCGGGAAGAAACGACGAAAAAATAATTAAACTCTGGGATAATCTGAGAAATCAGGATTGGTTAAGCCTCACATATATACAAAGAGAGAGAGTTTTACTGTTTCTCAGATTCAACCACAAAAACTATTGACAACAGTTAAACAGGTTATTGTTGCAGATCATTTGTTGTGATAAATAAAACCATAAAATATTTGTTCCATTGTTGTAGATATATATTATAGTACATCGAAAATAAATTTTAGATGATAAAATGTAATAACTTTGTTCTGTTAAAAAGCACAATTAAGAAACTTTTAGAATTAGGAAAATTAGGTTTTGGAGCTTGACCTTATTCTAAAATTGACCCCTTTTTTGTTTTTTCTGGTGGGGGAGGTGGGTGGGCATTACAAAATTAATTTCTAGTCGGTAACTACTGTGCATTATAAAAAGATACATATATTATTTTGTGGTTAGGAAATAATTTTAAAGCAAAAATTACTAAGAGACATTATAGGTTGAATTTTTAAGAGATAGTCTGTAATTCCTTTGTTGTTATTTTTATCAGCTTACATACTGAATCAAGACATATTTTAATGACGTTTTACGAATTTATCAAGAAAGTTGTCTAACAATGTCTGTAAGCATCTTCAAGATGAAAAGGAAAACAGTAATTTTAAGTTTAATTGATCTTTGGGAAATTGAAAACTTAGTGTGAAACATTTTCATGTTCTTAATAGAAAGACGTCCAAAGTAATTACTTTTATTTTATTCAGATTCTTTATAATAGCACTGAAGTGTGATTTTAATTTTAGTCTAGAATCGTGTGTTGTGCCTTAAAAACAACACTGCATGAGGTTACTGTATAACGATAACTGTTACGAATGTACAGAAATACAGTTAAATTGATTGTATATTGTTAAGGTCAAAGCTACATAATGGGCTATGTATATTGTGCCCACCACTGGAATCAAAACCCAATGTTTAGTATTATTAGCCCTCACACTTACCGCTGAGTCATCGGGAGGGGGCTGTTGTTTTTTAAACTACTTGGACATTTTGATTTTGTCTTAATACTAACTTTAGGAACTCACACTTACCGCTGAGCTATCGGGAGGGGCTGTTGTTTTTTAAACTACTTGGACATTTTGATTTTGTCTTAATACTAACTTTAGGAACTCACACTTACCGCTGAGCTATCGGGAAGGGATGTTGTTTTTTAAACTACTTGGACATTTTGATTTTGTCTTAACACTAACTTTAGGAACTCACACTTACCGCTGAGCTATCGGGAGGGGCTGTTGTTTTTTAAACTATTTGGACATTTTGATTTTGTCTTAACACTAACTTTAGGAATTGTGAAACTCGTTCTTCTCTATTTCATTGCAATCTAAAACTATAACGTTAGTTTTTAATATATAGAATCTACCACTAGTTTGATCAACTACTGAGGAAAACGGCACACTAATTAAGCTGTCTGTATGCAAGCCTTGCAAAAGGGTGTTGCATTATATATTAGTTACTTGGTTGCCCTTATCAACTTGCGAAACTATTAAGTTGACGAACTCTTTGATTATCTTACTTAATTAAAACTTTATACCCTTGAAATAATAAATTCAATTTGTTCTAGTTTTAATGTTACTTTGGGTCTTATTGGTATTATTCAATAAATACTTCAGTGTAACCGTCCGTCGTTATGTGCTGAGTACATGATGTGCAACTAAATCAACAGGCTTATTCATCAGCAACTAGCTTTAAGTATAGTCAGGTTAAAAACTTAGGATTTATGTTTTGAATCTCATCTTTTATAAAAGCAATATGAAGAACACGGGATGTATCCCTTTTTATCTTTATTTTACCTTTGCAAGAAGATAAACGCATTTTGCGAAAAGGATTTTAAAAATATGAATTACAACTACTTCAAAACGTAGTAAGAACTAACACGACAGGACCACAAACACGTGATAAACGTATAAACATAACGTAAAACAGTTATATTTCAACTAGATTCACCCTTTGTTTTCACAGAATCCAACCAAATATGTTCTGGCTGCGACCAAGCGATCTTAGACCGATTCATTCTGAAAGTGCTCGACAGGACTTGGCACACCAACTGTCTCAAATGTGCAGAGTGTCAGATACTCCTGACAACGAAGTGCTTTTCTCGGCACGGAGAAGTGTTGTGTAAAGATGATTTTTTCAGGTGTGTCTCTTTTTTTTTTCCATAAAATATCGAGTGAAAGATAATTTGTTTTTAATTTTAATGATAGTGATTGATTAATAACACGATTGTTAGCTTTAACATAAATACTAATACAAGTGATTATTCTAGCCTTTAAGGTAATATAGTAAATGATTTAAAATTGATATCCTGTTGCTGGTAAGTGGACTATTGTGGCAAATATTTCCGGTTTGAAAATAACTTCGCGAAGTTGTTTTTATTTACTTTGAAAAACTTGTAAGCTTCCGTTATATAATTATTATTACATTGAAATCAGTGCTAGAAATTCACATGAAACAGTTGTTATATAAGTATGGTTGCCTGTATATATATATATATATATATATATATAGT